GTTAGAGGGTAGATGTAGAGTTAGAGGGTAGATGTAGAGTTAGAGGGTAGATGTAGAGTCAGAGGGTAGATGTAGAGTCAGAGGGTAGATGTAGGGTTAGAGGGTAGATGTAGAGTTAGAGGGTAGATGTAGGGTTAGAGGGTAGATGTAGGAGGTACTGAGGCTCTTCAAGCTCTAACAGATGGATGAAAGCTGTGTTCTCTGAAATAACAACAACAACAACAATAATAATAATAATATCAGCAATGATGGAAAATAACCATCTCATAAAAATACAGCTGTTTTCCATCATCAAACACAGTTACCAGCATTGGTTTTGCATAACTGCACAACGTATTCACATGGCAAACAATCTAATGATGAATATAATAATACTGTAGTATAAATAATCCAGCGGACTTCATAACTGATTTTATGTAAAAACAAAAAAATCTTCTAAAACATTACTAATTGCTGTTGGTACATTTAGATCGTCTCCAGTGTAAACTGAGCTCTTACATGTAACTGTACAAACAAATCTTATATATGTGACAGATATTTAACTTCAATTGAAAAACAAAACGTATTTCCACCTATAAAATCAGCTGGTTTACGTTTAAAAATCAACAGAAACCATCCTTATTTTTTGTGACTATAACTGCTAATCTGGGTTTGGACGTGTAACTTGATGCAAAGACTTCAGGTTACTGTACATTAAGTAAGTTTGTGTTTAGAATTGACTGAAAATGCAGGAGAGAAAATGAAAAAGTCAAATAAAATCAAGTGGGACAGAGTTAATATATCCCCGTCCCAAACCATGTGTCTGACAGAACTATCAGCGCAGGACAAACGCTCACTGCATCCAGCACTACTTACTGATTGATAACAACCTGATAACTGAATGAAACCCAAAGCAGGCGTCCCTGCTGTCCTGCCTCACGCTGTGCTTCCTCTGTGACGGCAGCAGTGACCAGAGGACTGGCTTCAGTCAGTCATGGAAAAGCTGCTCTCTGTGACACGGTATGAAGGTAGAATGTATTAAACAAAAATTAGAAATAAGGGTTGATCCGTTAACAAGCTGTGTGGCTAAAAGCAGGCAGACTCAACCTGCAGAGTCCACAGGAGCCCGGATCACGTCGGTCCAACCTGGTTCATTTCTGATGCACATCCATTTGCTGGTCCGTTCATTCATATTTGATCTTCTACCTAACTTGACTCGTGTTTCTGTCTTGCTCCGAGTCCTGTGTGAATCAGTCAGCTTGCTTTGCTTGTGGTTTGTGTTTTATGAGAACATAAGAAAAGACATTCCTGACAAATAAAAACAAGGCTTCAACATCTTCACTGCAAAACCAGACCGAGTCACATGATGCCACGGCGAGGAGCTCGGAAAGGTTGCAGAAATGTGAGATTTACATTCTGCTTTAATCCGACTGTTTCATGTTTCAGTGTGACAAAAAAAAGGCTTGAAGGATGAGAACCACGTTGTCGTCGGACCGACAGCGTCTCGGGGGAAACGCTCCCCCAGGACCAGTCTGCTGAAGGCTTTCTTATCTTCAGAAAGTATTTTTCTGCATGACTGACTCATTTCCCCGACACACCACAAATGCTTCAAGCTGAACTTAAAACTTATGACTTCTCAGCCTTTGGTGTGGAGCTTCAAGCTTTTTCAGGACGTGCAGGCAGCTTGTAAAGACGATCTGCGACAATTAGATTTCCCCCCGACACCCAAACCAAACTCAGCTCAGTGTGTGCGCTCATTGTTCCCCCTGTGGGCGGCGTGCCTGTGGTCGCAGCGCTCCACGCAGGAATGCACCGTGGGACATGGGGAGGGAGGAGAGGTGGATTGTGGGTATTTTATGTGTAGCAGCCTCAGGAGTCGACCGCAGGGATCGAGACCTCGCAGCCTCGAACACCAATCACAGCCTGCATTTCACGTTAAAGGTGTATTTCATCTAAAGGACACAACAGGAGGGAGAACATCCCAATGAAGCGCGATTGAAACGCTAATCACTGCTCAGGTACTGCAGTAGGTCTAAGCTCAGCAATCACAAACCAATCCTTTATCAAGACCACATAGATAGATAGATGTTCATGCAGGTAGACTGATGGAACCACAGCTGGAACTGCCTTCAGTCTCCACTTTGGGCCTGAATTTTCAGAATCAGAATCAGAATCAGAATCAGAATCAGTTTTATTGCCAAAATTACTTGGCAATAAAACTGATTCTGATTCTGATTCTACAACAAGCTGAGAGCAGCAGAACCTTCTCAGTTCTGGACCTCTGGACTGTGTCTATCTATGTCTGCATCATGGCTCCACATGGAGAAGACCTGAACAGAGGAGGAGAAACAGTGAAGGATGGAGGTGGCAGCATCATGATGTGAGGCTGCATGAGGGCAGAAGGTGTTGATGATGTTTCTAGAAGCTCCATGAATGTCTGAGGATGAACCAGAACACTGGCTGACCAGACCAGAACTCCAGCATTCACACACGTCTGCTGTCAGCGTCATAACGGCATATTAGCACAAATATCTCACTTTTATTCTACATTTAAAGAGACCTGAACGACTTTTTGGGAGGCGTCTGAGTGACGCCTCCTCTGGTCTCTACAGGATTAAACAGGAAGAGGCTCCACCTGGTGGAACAACCAGGTACTGCAGCTGGTCAACAGTACATTTATTCTTATGCTGCCTCATCAGTTCATATATTCTTTAATATTTTGTTAATCAGGTACATTATCGACAACAATCAATCAATTAACTGTAAATCGTCTGAAGAAACCGGTACATTGTGGAGTCACTAAAATGTGAAGGTTTGCGATGTGAGCAGCTGTTTGAATCGGATACTGAAAGGTCGGAGGAGAGTCTGACCTCTGGCCCGGTGATGTGCATCATCCCGGACACTGCGGAGACGATGGAGTCGTATCCCGGACTCTGAGCCTGCGGACCGGTCTGCCCGTAACCTGAACACACAAACACACGGCCTCAGTGCCACTGAGCTGACAGGAAGCCCGGCGGGGGAATCAAACCGTCGGCGCGTCGGCGTCTCCTCTTCCAGGAAAACACATTCCAGCAGCGTGTTGAGTCTGCTGCTCTGACTAAACAGCCAGATTGATTTCCTGAAGAGTCCAGACTCGCCGCTCGCCTCGTATCAACAAAAAACATTCCCAGAACTGCTTTCAGTTCTCTGCAGCAGGCGCTGAAACATCACGCTGGTCTCCATCCCAACGACCCACCCTCTGTTCACCGTCTCTGTGATTATCGGTACCGTTATTTCTGACTAGAGTTGAATGAAATGTTCCCGTCTGATGCAGCCGCTCTCTGTCCGCAGTCACAGCGATGCTCACAGCCCCGTCTGATTGGCCGGGAACAGCCAATCACTGAGAGCCACTGTTTACAGACAGGTGAGCAGCTCTGGTTCGCCAGGTGGGAACTTTTTATATGGAATCACTCATTTTCATGTCAAAGGAAAACAAAAGCAATGAAATGACGTAAAGGCGTCCGAAGAGTTTTGTTTCTGCAGTTTTCACAGAAATGAGGTGGATTCACTTCACGCCAAACGTGGCTTTACACGTTGAACTGTCCCTTCACACGCTGAGGCGTGGAGGGTACAGTTCCTTTAAACACCTGGGTTTCTAGATAAGAAACAACAAACCAAAACCAGCAGCGGCTGTATCACCAGCTGATGACCAGCTGTCCAGTTTGGCTACAAACAGTCTCAGTTCTCCTTAGAAGTGAATACGTTCTGCTTCCTGTCCTGCTGTATGACAGTAACATGAAGATGTTTGGGGAACGCTGGTGGCAGAGACCAGTCCAGAAAAGACACCAGTAACGCCTGACGTCATGTGACGACGACAGCCGAACCAGCGTCAGGTCCGAACCAGCCGAGGTCACCTCTGAACAACAACTTCACTGACTCCACTTTCCGCTCCCTTAAAAACTTTTTTCTTTGGTTTCAGGAGTTACAGTTTTTGGGGGATCAGGACATCAATCTGAGGCGTCCTGCTCGGTCTCAGACAGCTCAGGATGAAACCAGACCGTAAATCTGCCCACTGCTTCCAGCTGCTGCAGCTTAATGAGGCCTCCTGGGTAATGTAGTCTTTTTTTTCCTGAAGGATGGGAGGAGGAAGGGACGACAAAAATGTGGGAGTGATAAAACTGAAACGTTGAGAGAAGAATGGGGACAAAAGACTGAAAAAGAAATGAAAGGAAGACAGAACAAAGACAAGACAGGAGCGCTTTAAGCAGGACATCAGGTCGCTCCATATAAAACCGACCCGGTCTGAGACGTTCCTCCCAAACCTCCTGAGAATCGGCTGGTTCTTTATCTACGACAGTATATCAGATGAAACAATGAAAAACAGATCCAATCTAAAAATGTAATTTATACTGAAAACCGACCATATTAGAAACTGATTCTGTCCCAGAGTGAGTCCTGTCTGCAGATGGTTCTGGTTCTGGAGGTAAAACGGTCCTTCCATCGTCTAGAACTGGTTCTGACCCAGCACCACCACACATGCTGACATGAGCCTAGAAAGTTTACCCAGAATGCACTTTGTAAAGTTTCCTCTGGTGACTGATCAGAACCAGAACCACATCCAGGGTACCAGTGANCTGAAGGAACCAGAGAAGCTCAGGAATGAAAGATGGACTCACTTTAGTTCCTGCTGTGGAGCCTGAATGTGAACTGGTGGTTTGTAATCTGATATCAGAGACAGTACTCTGCTGATGGAAGTAATCTGATTACTGTGAGGGGATACAGTTCAGAATCCTTCAACATTTACGTGATGTTGCACACTTTGTTGATCTTCATATCTCTAATGCGAGTCGTGAGCTCGTGGACAGTCTGAGCGTCTTCACCCAACATGTTCAGCAGGAAACAGGCTTTTCTACGTGTTTTGATTCTAAACTTAGTCTGCAAACTAAATTCCACCCCAGAGAACCATAAAGTTGTGAAAGGAGCAGAACTCGGTCGTGTCGCAGCGTCTCTCCCAGCCAGAGTGGTGAAAAATGGGAATACAGAAAACATAAAACACAGTTTTAAAAGCAACACTGTCACACCAGCAGCGCGTCCTGACACCGCAAATCAAACGCACCCTGGGCGTCTCGAACGCTTCGGCGTCCAGAGCCACGCGAGATCCCATCCGTCTCCGAGTCCCAGACGGTTTTAGGATTACGAATCGCTGGAATTGTTTAAACAGTGACATCGCTCGGAGAAATACGGAAGACTGTGTTTAAACTGGTCGGACTTTTCAGGATAAATCAGAGGCTTGTTTGAATACCTGCAGGTTTTTAGGATTCGCTGTTAGCTGAGGCTCAGACAACACACAGCTGCCGGGACACTTCTGCTTATCTGCACCGTCAGAAACACCCCATTGATCTGGATGGAACCAGACGTTCAGCGCTGTCCCGTACCAGTCGACCCTGAACACAACACCGTGAAGCAGTTACTGCAGAGTGGGAGTGTGTCCGCTTTAGGCCACCTTTGAGGTTCAGACGAGACTCTCTGGGTGGTTTAGCGTCTGTCCTCCTGAGCTGGGAACCTTCTGGTCTGGGTTAGTTTGAAAAATCCCAACAGAGTCTCAAAAATGTCTCTGTCCCCTCGTGGAGGAGGGTTTCTAAAACGTAAGCGAGCAAACAGTGGAGAGGAAGCGCTGCAGCTTCCTGTCAGGAGTGTGTGAGCCGTGGATTTCACCTGTGAGGACAGCAGGTTGCAGTCGATGTGAACTCCTCTCCCGGTCTTGTGTCGCTGCAGCAGGGCGGCCATGACGGCTCCGTGGGCGTAGAGCCCCGTCGCCATGTCTGTCATGGCGACGCCTGGACGCACCGGCTCGCCGTCCTGCCAACAGATACAGTGTGTTATGGAGGAGAGGGTGAGAAGAACAACCTCATACAAACCTTACAGTATATTCTGTGTTCTGCTGTGTGCATGTTGAAGTGAACCACAACTCTGAAGGCCTGCGCTGGACTTCAACTGGTCAAACTGGGATCTGGAGTCTAGGTGAGAGTCTAAACAGCATAAAGAAGCCTGATGGGTTGGAGGAGGGAGAACATCCCAATGAAGCGCGATTGAAACGCTAATCACTGCTCAGGTACTGCAGTAGGTCTAAGCTCAGCAATCACAAACCAATCCTTTATCAAGACCACATAGATAGATAGATGTTCATGCAGGTAGACTGATGGAACCACAGCTGGAACTGCCTTCAGTCTCCACTTTGGGCCTGAATTTTCAGAATCAGAATCAGAATCAGAATCAGAATCAGTTTTATTGCCAAAATTACTTGGCAATAAAACTGATTCTGATTCTGATTCTACAACAAGCTGAGAGCAGCAGAACCTTCTCAGTTCTGGACCTCTGGACTGTGTCTATCTATGTCTGCATCATGGCTCCACATGGAGAAGACCTGAACAGAGGAGGAGAAACAGTGAAGGATGGAGGTGGCAGCATCATGATGTGAGGCTGCATGAGGGCAGAAGGTGTTGATGATGTTTCTAGAAGCTCCATGAATGTCTGAGGATGAACCAGAACACTGGCTGACCAGACCAGAACTCCAGCATTCACACACGTCTGCTGTCAGCGTCATAACGGCATATTAGCACAAATATCTCACTTTTATTCTACATTTAAAGAGACCTGAACGACTTTTTGGGAGGCGTCTGAGTGACGCCTCCTCTGGTCTCTACAGGATTAAACAGGAAGAGGCTCCACCTGGTGGAACAACCAGGTACTGCAGCTGGTCAACAGTACATTTATTCTTATGCTGCCTCATCAGTTCATATATTCTTTAATATTTTGTTAATCAGGTACATTATCGACAACAATCAATCAATTAACTGTAAATCGTCTGAAGAAACCGGTACATTGTGGAGTCACTAAAATGTGAAGGTTTGCGATGTGAGCAGCTGTTTGAATCGGATACTGAAAGGTCGGAGGAGAGTCTGACCTCTGGCCCGGTGATGTGCATCATCCCGGACACTGCGGAGACGATGGAGTCGTATCCCGGACTCTGAGCCTGCGGACCGGTCTGCCCGTAACCTGAACACACAAACACACGGCCTCAGTGCCACTGAGCTGACAGGAAGCCCGGCAGGGGAATCAAACCGTCGGCGCGTCGGCGTCTCCTCTTCCAGGAAAACACATTCCAGCAGCGTGTTGAGTCTGCTGCTCTGACTAAACAGCCAGATTGATTTCCTGAAGAGTCCAGACTCGCCGCTCGCCTCGTATCAACAAAAAACATTCCCAGAACTGCTTTCAGTTCTCTGCAGCAGGCGCTGAAACATCACGCTGGTCTCCATCCCAACGACCCACCCTCTGTTCACCGTCTCTGTGATTATCGGTACCGTTATTTCTGACTAGAGTTGAATGAAATGTTCCCGTCTGATGCAGCCGCTCTCTGTCCGCAGTCACAGCGATGCTCACAGCCCCGTCTGATTGGCCGGGAACAGCCAATCACTGAGAGCCACTGTTTACAGACAGGTGAGCAGCTCTGGTTCGCCAGGTGGGAACTTTTTATATGGAATCACTCATTTTCATGTCAAAGGAAAACAAAAGCAATGAAATGACGTAAAGGCGTCCGAAGAGTTTTGTTTCTGCAGTTTTCACAGAAATGAGGTGGATTCACTTCACGCCAAACGTGGCTTTACACGTTGAACTGTCCCTTCACACGCTGAGGCGTGGAGGGTACAGTTCCTTTAAACACCTGGGTTTCTAGATAAGAAACAACAAACCAAAACCAGCAGCGGCTGTATCACCAGCTGATGACCAGCTGTCCAGTTTGGCTACAAACAGTCTCAGTTCTCCTTAGAAGTGAATACGTTCTGCTTCCTGTCCTGCTGTATGACAGTAACATGAAGATGTTTGGGGAACGCTGGTGGCAGAGACCAGTCCAGAAAAGACACCAGTAACGCCTGACGTCATGTGACGACGACAGCCGAACCAGCGTCAGGTCCGAACCAGCCGAGGTCACCTCTGAACAACAACTTCACTGACTCCACTTTCCGCTCCCTTAAAAACTTTTTTCTTTGGTTTCAGGAGTTACAGTTTTTGGGGGATCAGGACATCAATCTGAGGCGTCCTGCTCGGTCTCAGACAGCTCAGGATGAAACCAGACCGTAAATCTGCCCACTGCTTCCAGCTGCTGCAGCTTAATGAGGCCTCCTGGGTAATGTAGTCTTTTTTTTCCTGAAGGATGGGAGGAGGAAGGGACGACAAAAATGTGGGAGTGATAAAACTGGAACGTTGAGAGAAGAATGGGGACAAAAGACTGAAAAAGAAATGAAAGGAAGACAGAACAAAGACAAGACAGGAGCGCTTTAAGCAGGACATCAGGTCGCTCCATATAAAACCGACCCGGTCTGAGACGTTCCTCCCAAACCTCCTGAGAATCGGCTGGTTCTTTATCTACGACAGTATATCAGATGAAACAATGAAAAACAGATCCAATCTAAAAATGTAATTTATACTGAAAACCGACCATATTAGAAACTGATTCTGTCCCAGAGTGAGTCCTGTCTGCAGATGGTTCTGGTTCTGGAGGTAAAACGGTCCTTCCATCGTCTAGAACTGGTTCTGACCCAGCACCACCACACATGCTGACATGAGCCTAGAAAGTTTACCCAGAATGCACTTTGTAAAGTTTCCTCTGGTGACTGATCAGAACCAGAACCACATCCAGGGTACCAGTGATTGTTTCTATGACTCTGTGTCATAGACATTAGACTGGTACCACTATGGTCCATCCCATAATACTGATGCTACCAGCTGCTGGCAGAGGACATGAACAGAACCAGGTCCAGTGTTCAGACTGAGACACCTGGATGGATGTAGAACTGGTCTGGTGTCAGGTTCTACCAGAACTCAGATGTTGTCATGCGTCTATCTGCTGTACTGATGAAGAACAAGTGTCCAGAATGTCCTGAAATCTGACCCAAGTGACCAAAACCTCTGAAATGACTCGAACACTGTCCACAACTTGTTCAAAGTGTCTCCAAACTTCTCTGAAAACCACCCGATGTGCCTCAAAACCTGTCCCCAAATGTGTCCAAAATGACAAAAACGTCCCCAAAATGACTCAGAATCTGTCCAGAACAATTCAGAACGGGTCAAAAACATGTCAGAACTTCTCCTAATCACTCAGCACTCGTCCTGAACCTTTTAAAACTTGAACAAAGTGACTGTAAACCAGAGGACAGGAATCGTAGCGAGAAGACGAGCCTCTGATCAAGACGCAGGAGAAACATGAGACCTTTGACCTGCTGTAACTGGTTCTGACCAAAACTGATCTGGTGTCAGGTTCTACCAGAACCCAGATGTTGTCATGTGTCTATCTGCTGTTCTGATGAAGTTCTGAGGCTCAGAAATGATGGAAAAAGTCCATTAAAGTGATCGATCTGGACCCTCCTCTGTGGACTTCAAGGACCTGGACCTCTGGAACATTCACAGTCTGAAGGTAGAACTCTGCATGGACTCATTAAATGTGCTGAAGTGATACCAGGATCATCTTCTGGAGATGACTCCCTCTGAGGAAAGATCTAAAGAAGCTGCAGTGACCTCCAACAGCTCGGTTACCAAACATCAAGCATGAAGCTCCTACAGGCTGAAGACATCCAGGGTTTCTTCACTCTGATGGTTCTGTGTTCCTCGTCACGCTGACTGGTTTCGCTTTTATAAATACATTTTAAAAAAGGTGCTTCAGTGAAGCTGCTGGGTCCACAAAGACCAGCCTGCAAAAAGGTTCCTCAGAGAGCCTGTTCCAACTGAAGCTCACTGACGTGTCATTTATGGAAATGAACCGCTTGTTGGTGGCTCCTTGATGCACCTATTGTTGTTAGTTTTTATTCATAAATAATGTTTTATTTACTAGATACTATTTGCAGTTTACCAAAGAGGAAAAACAACAGTTAAAAGAATGGTTGAGCAATTTTCTGTCCTCAATATAAACAGTTTGACTTTCAAATAACAGCAAATGTCTGTAAAATGAGGATTTCTTCCACTTTACATACAGTTAAATAAACAGTTAATGCACTACACAGGACAAATGTGTCAAAGAGCAGCGAATGGCTGAACGCTGGTCGCTGCAGGTCACAGCGAGAAGTTCCACCAACTTATCTGGTGTGAAGCCGGGCTGGCTTCTGTCTGTGCTGTGGAGTCTGGCGACACCTAGTGGTTCAGTCAGGGAACAGCAGGAGGGACACCTGCAGCTCTGAGGAACCAGAACATGAAGGAGGAGAACTCAGAGCTGTCGTCTGTCAGCAGGACCACGGAGACCAGAGAGGAGGAACCTTTTTTTTTGATTATTTATTTGATTAAAACAGCTTTACAGAAAAGGCCAGTGTGTGTGTCGAGTGTCCACGGGTGAAAAAAGCTTTTCATTCGTGTCTTTCTTTTACATTATTTCACATCTCTTTTGTGGCGTTTGTCTCCTCATCCTGCAGATGTTGAACCATTTCCATCATCAAACCCGCTACAGACAGCTTCGTGTCTCACTTTCCTCTTTCTTAAATCGTGTCTCTTTCATGTCTCTGGTTCTTTTGTCATTTTGTGTCTCTGAGCTCATGAGGTCTCCTGAACTAGCTCCATGTCTCCAGAGTGTTCCTCAT